ATGTGTACTTATAATGAAGGTAATTAGTTTTATAATTTTTTTGATCATCTTAGGAAACATAAAACATGAACCAAATAAATGCTGGTTGGATCATTCAGTACTGTAGATTGAGTATATCAAATAAATGCTAAACATGAAAGTGGTGTGGAAATTGAGCTATTTGTATTTGTGATTGAAGAGCTGAGTCCTCTGGACATGCTAGGTCGAAATAACAGCCAGCAGGGTGCAAAAGATTAGAGGGGCCAAGAAGAACAAAATCTGGTCAGGATAAAATACAGGGGGTAGGTAAGATTGGAATGGAACTTTTAAGAGTGGAGCAGGGAACCAGTCCAGGTAATGATGACAAGAACTGTGTGAGCTTTAGCAGAGACAAGAGACTGCATGAAAGCTCACTTAACAGGTACCTGGGAGAAAGAGAGAGAGAGTGAGTGTGTGTGTGAGAGAGAGAGAAAAAGAGAGAGAGAGAAAGAGAGAGAGAGAGAGAGAGAGAGAGAGAGAGAGAGAGAGAGAGAATGAATGCTGGGGTATGTGAGTTCGTGAAAGTTTTCTTTGAATAGTGACATTTGAGTTGATCCTACTTTACCAATGATTCAGATTTTTAAGATAATACACATTAGCTCCTTGAACAAATGATCTTAACATTTAGAATTTAATACATGAAATATTTTTAATAGGTTCAAGTAATCAGTTATCATATTTTCACTTATGTAACCAAATGGTTTAAATGGTCATATCAGCAACAGCCTACAAGTGTTACTTTGCAGTCTATAACTAGCGTCATGGCTCTTTCCATCTTTCTGCACATCTGATCAACTGTGGAAAGCTAGAAAATGAAAATCTAAAACATATGCTCTCAGAAAAGGTGATATTTCTGTAATCTGTTAGAATTCCCATAGATACTACAGTGTCTATTTACATGAGTGTCTGTTTACATAGGGTTGTCTGCTTTAAGATAAACACAAGGTAGAAACCACTGTGTTCCTGAGTTTGATGGGAACATGCATAAAAAGGGTAGCCTACTTGTTTAAGATCACACAGCCTGATAAGCAGAAGATTCAGGATTTAAACCTATGTACTTTGGCTGAAATGCATTTACTCTTAACTGGGAAGAGAGCTATTTGCTGCGAGATGAAATGTTTTAATCAAATTTCCTACCTGATGGTCCGTATTCATTTTGTTTCTTTCCCAGTACAAAGCCAGGGGTGAAATGAATGTATTCTGCTTTTTCTCCACATTCTGTGAACTGCCTGGTATAAGGTTCATCTTGGCCTGGGAGGGTTGGTGGTGCAATTATAATATCAGCCTGAGAGTGTTGGAAAAGATTGTGAAAACATCAGCATTGGACATGGACAGCATTTAGTCTGGAAAACTCTGAAATGATGAGCTAAGGTTGGCATTAGCAGATGTAGAAAGCATTTTAAAGAAAAGTCATTGACACTTACATGTTGGTAGCTCTCATATTTTGGCCTCCTGTATTGTGTGTTTTCTTTCCAATTCTTAGGAATTAATATAGACACATTTTTGAAAAAAAATCTCTTTTCTGTGGCTTCAAACAGGTAAGTAGATGCTGTTGTCACCATGTCCTATTATCAAAGGGAAACAGTATGTGAAAACAATCAAGTGAGAATGGACTAAAGGTATAATCTCAGACATTTTCCATCTTCAGACATTAAAACCAAAAAAAAAAAAAAAGGACTGATGAGCAGGGTCTCTCTATCCATGGTCACAGCTCTATTAGTTGTCAATTCCAAATTCCAAATGCTTCATCCTGTGCTTTGAAAATCATGCACCACTTATATCAAAAGCCAAATGCCTGGAAATTGTCTAGAACAATAAAATACATAGAATTTAGACTCATTAAGACTTGATTCTAACCCTTAGTTAATATTTTCTGTCATCAAAACTTGATCATTTATCTAACTGTTCTTTTGCTTGCTTTCCTTATCTCTTAAGTGGATAATTGCTACTTACTTTTAAGGTCACTGTGGACATGGATAGTTTTGGACAGTGCTGTACACATAGACACTTAATGAACTGGTTTATATCATTACCATTTGTACAAAGCGTCAAGAGAGAGCAGTCTTAGTTGATGTAAGCTAAAGGCAGCCCCAGTGTGTTTCACTCCACCCTATTTTAGATTAGCTCTACTTTGCAAGTTGCCCCTTACAAAATTACTCTTTGTTCTTCCCCATTGCCACCATATTGTAAACTCTAAAGTCACCTTTGTGTGACTGAGACACTAAATGTTGTAGTCAACTACAATATTGCAGGAAAATCAGCTAGACCCACATCTGTTCCACAAATCCCTAATCAGTTATTAGGTCCAGGAGTTGCAAATACTTATAAAATATAGCAATATTTTACTAAAGATGATTTAGAATTATAATGGTAATATGAAATGTTCCACCTAAGCAACATTGTATTTTAAGAAGTACACTTAAAAATGACAAATTAGGACCACTAATCGATGCTCTAAAACTCCTTAAATGATTAAAAGAAAGTATTTTATCACTGTGTTAAAAAGATTCTTTATAAGCTGCTTTGATAATCCTTGGTAAAAATGAGGATGTCGATGGAAAGGAAAATAGTGTTTCTTGAGAAAAACTTTAGTACCGCTGTTACTAGATTGTAGTCCTATTCATTCTTTTCAGATCACTATTATCACCCTGCAGCCTGGCCTGGGCCCTCACTTTTTCCAGCTTTTCCACTGTCTAGCTTAACCTTCTCTGCTCAGCTCATTAGAACTCTCATTCCATTTTAAAGGACAATATTGTCAGTTAAACCGAACAAATAACATTCCAGCTAATTTTACCAGGAGTGGAAATAACAAAACTGTGTCATAAAAAACAAAACCAAGAATCTGCATGCATCTTACATCAACTAAGACTGCTCTCTCTTGATGCTTTGTGACTCTGGCCTCACCAGCTGAGTGTTCAGTGCTACCTCTCAGAGCCATGAATCAGTTTGGTGCCTGGCTGTTGGGTCCACGGCAACCCTGTCGTCACTCCCGAAAGTCCACAGTAATGAGAATCTCGACAAAATCAGTGTGTCTCTAAATGATATTATCACGTGCAATTGAAAGGAAGCAGAATTTTCTGAGGCTAAATAGAAGACTCTAGCAAAGTAGTGCTTGGCAATTCAGGATGACAGTACCAAGGGAGAATCCAGCAGAATTATAGGTTTGGTAACACTAAGCTAAGCCGAAGAGGAAGAGTAACGCCTGGAAGAGCCGTCCTCATGGAGGGATCACTGGCCTGCAGCCGGGAAGGCACCTGGGATTCGGAAAGGAGTTAGCACTATGAATTGTCCACCTCTAAGTGGCAAGAGTGTAGAATGATATTTTCTTGTGTTAAGAAGGAAAACAAACCTTCTGACACAAAATGAAGTGCAAAGAAAACCCCTGCAGTTCTCAAGAGACCCTAACCAGTTAAACAGAAAGAATAAAATCCCAGCTAATTTTACCAGGAGTAGAAATAAATTGAGTCATCAGAAAGACACCTGTCAGCCAACTTCTCTTTTCTGAAGAGGCCAGACGGTTCAGGCCCAGTTGAACACAGAACAAGCGCTAGATGATGTAGTAGCAAAGAGAACTCTCAGTGGCCCAATCCCACCACCCACGGAGGAATTTTGACTGTGTCCATTGACAGTGCTGGGCAGTACAGTGCCCAGTAACTCAGAACCCATGATTAACTCATGCTGCTCTACTCACATTCTTTTTAAAAAATTTTAACTTATTTTTTATTTATTTAAAGAAAAAAAAACAAAATAGAAAAGAAGGGTAGAATAATACAGAATTCAACAAAAAATTAACATTAAGGAATTGCTAGTTGATACATATTGTCATCTTAGAAATAGCTGTTCAAGTTTCAAAATCAAAGCATTAAAAGTGGATAGACACTCAAACATTGACAGTGTAAACCATTCTGTTCAATGACCAATGAAAATTTAGTAATATAGTCATCTATCTTATAAACTTATGCATACAGTTATATCCTTTAGAGCACTTTCCTTCCTTTTCATCTTTACAATATCTATTATACATTTTGGGTCTTATTACTTTTTAAGTTTTTATTATTTTTTACACTAGAGAGACAGTGTCGTATTTACTAATGTGAATCTTGTTTATTTCACTTATGAGGATAGTCTCAAGTTGCCTCCATTTATCTATAAAGGCTTCAAGATCATTCTTTTTTATAGCTGAGTAATATTCCATTGTATAAAAGTACCACATTGTTTTCATCCACTCTGTGGTTGATGAACATTTTAATTGTTTCCAAGACTTAGCTATTATAAATTGTGCTGCTATAAACATGGGTGCATATATATCACTGTGACGTGACCTTTTCAAATTTTCTGGGAAAATACCCAGGAGAGGAATAGCTGGATTGAATAGAACTTCTAATCCTAGTTTGTTGAGGAATCTCAATACTGATTTCTACATGGATGCATGAGTCTACACTCCCACCAACAGTGAAGAAATGATTCTTTTTCCCCAAAGCCTTGCCAACATTTTTATAATTTTATTTCTTGATGGTGGTCATTCTTTCTAGGGTGAGGTGATATCTCAGTGTTATTTTAATATGCATTTCTCAAATGACCAGTGATGGTGAGCATTTCTTCATATATTAATTTGCCATTTGTATATCTCTGTCTGAGAAATGTATATTCATCTTCTTTGCCCATTTTTGGAGAGCGTACCCACATTCTTGACGAAGTGGGAACAGTCTGATGTCAAGGAAGTTCCTAAAGGTGCCCCCCCTACAATTTGACATAAATGGTGTTGGACAATAGGGATGACTTTGAATGAACAATTTGGAATCCTAAAGGAGCAAAGGGGCACTCTGACATACGGCAAAGGAGGTAGCCGCTTTGTCATTGTGGGACAGATTCCATGTCAAAAGAACTTCTGAGTGATGACTCTGAAAAGTTGTTACTTGAAGAATTCATCACAGAACTTCAAGAAACTTTACCTTAAAATATTCACAAGGCTAGAGAACTCTTATTTTTGAAGTTTTTATTTAAAATGCATAAAATAATGCCCTAAAAGGTAACAGGGAATATACCTATCTGTTCTTAAAGATTTCTTGCTTGGCCCAGGCAGAACAAGTTTTGTTGACTTCCTTGATTCCTCATGCAGCAAATGGAAGACAGAAAGACAGAAATCGATTAGTTTTATGATAGTGATATTTAGAATCTTATCACCTCTGCCCACTTTTTAGACTTTGCCATGGTAAAACTTTGGCCTCTGTAATACGAGTAGGTCCCTTTGTTGCTGTCATTTATCCTTTAAAAGTGTTGATGCAATAAGGAAAGTTACCTTTTCTTCATTAGACACATTTTTAGAAACCATATGTGAACTCTAGTTTTGGCTTTGAAGATTTATGGAACTATCTGGAACTTGGTTCATTTTTCAGGTGGTGTTAAATTAGACCCCTAGAGTTAGAAATCTTTAGTGCTGAACTTTTAACAACAAATGTGGTTCTTGGTGTCTGAAGGCTGTAAATGCACGCTTACAGAATTATCTGACAAGACACTGGAGAAGGTCCAGTGTAAAAAGCTGACAGTTCGTATTTAGTAATGAAAACGTGCAAAGAAGGAGCAAGATGGAGCACCAGAAACTTAGGTGAAAACCTTCAAAACCCAAGTCATAGATGCATTTTGGATTTAATGTAATCTTGAGTCTAGTGTCTGCAGATTCTTAACTGATATTTGAAATTTTGGTTTTAAAAACTCATGGAGTCCCTGAGATATTTGATAGTAAAATTAATAGCTTTACAATGCTACACTTTCTTCTTATTCAAAAAGTTAAAATTTTAAGCTTACTGAATTATGTAATTCATAACTCCAGGAAAAATATATCACAAAGGAAAAAAATGTGTAAAATTAGAATACAGTATATCATAACCCTTGTTGTATAACTTCCACTCAGATTTTTTTGTGTGATATAAAGTTCAGGCATTTAGGGGGAGAAAGAACTTTCCCTGTACTCTGAAGAAATAGGGAGGAGTTAGTCTATTGTGCCAAGGTAGTGCTGAGAGCCTTGAGAGAGCACTACAAATTACAGTAAAATGCCAAAATAGCAACATATTCCAGCTGAAAATTAACAAGTTTGGTCATTTTGAAGCTTGACTTTTTGATTTACTGTAATGTTCAAACCTCAAAATAAGTATTGTTTCTCAGTCTATATTATTAGTGTTGAGTTTTCCTGTAAAATGAAGCATTATTGTTCCTGAATACCTTACACTGTATGTTAGACTTCATTGTCTCTTAGGTTCCTTGGGTTACTGACTGATTTATGCCAGCCTTGGGAAGTTATCAGTAACAGTTCCATGCTTCTACCAAAGAAATCTGATCCTTAATATCTGATATTTTGCCAGTAGAATTTGAGAATAAACCAGCTTTTTGTGGCAATTTGAATCTTTTTATAAAGGCCGAGGACTCACTGCAGAACATTTTCACAAATATGTATGACTAATATTTGATCTAAGAACAATACATTTTAGACTGCCTGGAATTCTTGATAGCTTATTTTATTTTTTGTCTTTTTTTTTTGTTGTTGTTTTTATCAGTACCAGGGATCGTACTCACGACTGCCTGCTTGCAAAGCAGGCGCTTATGCCGCTGAGCTAAATCCCCAGCCCCTGTAGCTTATTTTAAAGTAAAAGAAAAACAACTGAGTGTGAGT